AAATTCGGCGCGGTGCTTTGAAAAGCGTGCGACGACCTATTAACGTCGTTTTCGGGTTTTACATATTTTGATAAGCTTTTCAATCAAGATTGTGTGAATGAGATTGACTTCAGTGACCTTATCATCTTAAATGAAAATAGAGATTTTTTATTTTTATCGACGTTTTAGTAAAATTAAAGTTAGAGAGGCTTTAAAGAAAATGAAGTGTGGAGAAGTATTGGACCTAATGATATTCCAATATATGTGTGGAAATACTTAGAAGATAAAGAATTTTTTGCCTTATGAAAAAATTCAATATTATTTTGAAGATTAAAAAGATGTCAGATGAGTGTAGAATGAGTCTGTTGATTCCAATTTTTAATAATAAAGGTAATGCATAAGTGTGTGCAAATTATATAGGAACTAAGTTAATGTGTCATACTTTAAAATTATGGGAGAGTTATTGAGTATAAGTTACGACGTGATTCTAATGTTTCTCAAGTTCAATTTGGATTCATGCCGGGTAGGTTTACTATGGAAGCTATACATTTACTAGAGAGATTTGATGTAGAAGTATAGAGAGGAGGATCTACATATGATATTTACTGATTTAGAGAAAGCATATGATAAGGTTCCAAGAGAAGTACTTTGGAGAGTCCCGAAAAAAAAAAGGGGTTAATAATGCTTATATTCAGGTCATTACGGATATGTGTGCAAGTGTTGTTACTTGTGTTCAAACACAAGTTGGTTTGATAAAGTATTTTTCCATTTCAATTGGATTACATCAAGGACCAGCTTTAAGATCATATCTTTTTTGCTTTAGTTATGGATGTTCTTACTAGATATTTGCAAAGGATAGCTTTTTGTTGATGATATTCTTCTTGTTGATAAGACTAGAGAGGGAGTTGAAGGTAAACTTAAATTATGGAGTTTAACCTTAGAGTTTAAAAGTTTTCATTTGAGTAGATATAAAATTGAAGACATGGAATATAATTTTAGTAGTAATATATCTAGTGGGGGGATTGTGACTTTGGGCAATCAAGTCAATAATAACAGTACACAGTTTAGGGTCTATTATTCATAGTATTGATGAAATAGATGGGGATATTATTAGTAGAATTCAAGTTAAATGGTTGAAGTGGAGGAATGCATTCGGCATGTTGTGTGATAGAAAAATACCTCTCAAACTTAAGAAAAAATTCTATAAGATGGTGGTAAGACGTGCAATGCTTTATGTTGCAGAATGTTGGCCATTAAAAGAGAAGCATAAAATTAAGTGAAGTGTTGGAGAGATGAGGATGCTTAGGTGAATGAGTGGCTTTACTCTTAGAGATAGAATACAAAACGAGTATATACGTAAAAGGTTGGAGCAGCGCTCCAATGGAAGATATAATTACAGAGAGTCACCTAGATGATTTGGTCACATTAAATGTCAGCCTTTTGATGATTTGGATAGGAGAGTATATGCATTAGATTTGACATATGTTAAAAAAAGGTTCTGTATACCTAAAAAGACTTGGTTAAAAAATATTAGAAATGAATTTTTATTAGATTTAAATGAGAATTTGACTCTTAACAATACATAATGGAGAAAAATAATTCATGTAGTTGACCCCGCATAGTGGGATAAAGGCTTGTTGTTGTTGTTGCTACTATACAAAATTGATTCAAATTTAATCCTAAAGGGACTATTTTCAATAAATTTTGTATAGTTTAGGGATTAAATTAGAGCAATATGATCCTCTATGACTAAATTGACCATATATAAATAGTCCAGGGACTATTTTGAAGTTTACCCTTCAAATGGATGAATTACTAAGATAACTGACTCAACACTTAAATAATAACTCATATGTCAGATATTAACATGCAAAAATTTGAGCATCTAGATAAAGAAGTTTCATGATAAATAATATGGAGTTCCAATACCAGTGGTATATAGCTAAAACGAAGGGGATGAAAATACCTACTTCTGAATGTGCCATTAGGTTGACTCTAAATTTCTAATTCCACAAACAATGCGAGTGAAACATACATCGACATGTAGTCAGATAATCTTAGTGAAGAGGGCATAAATGGTTCTTGACAGAACAGTTTTTACCTTATTGGAATGGTGATAACCGTGTTTTGATGTGTGCGCTTGTTGCGCATCAAAATATTGATGTCTGCTAAGATCGGGAAGGATTGTGCAGTGGCGGATCTATAGGCCCTGTTGAGTGTAAGCCATTGCCCACCCTCAAAATTGAATTTTTAATAAAAAATTTAGATTGTTTAGGTAATTTTTCCCCAACCCTTAATTTGCCCATAAAAAATAAAAACTCTTTAGAAGCTCCGGTAAGCTCACGGATCTGTCACTGTATGACGATGTTAATGGTAACTTGAAGGTCAGCTATCATGGTAAGGACCAATATGTCAACTAGATGATTATGTTCATGGTAAGGACCACGGTTCTATCCAGTGCAGAGATGACGGCGACAATTATAAGCCTGGGCTAAATGGTTCTTTTGATTTTCTTGTGCTGGATGTAGATTAAGAGTCTGTGCCCAACAATATAGTTTAAGAGAGCTTGTAACTCTTGTAGGTCATCTATAAGCTTACATTATTGACATGCATATTTGTGATAAGTTTTCATCTTTAAGCAACATTGTTGATCTTATAAAACAAATCATTAAGATAAAGAATGATTGTGTGTATTCCCTAATTTTTAGTCTTATTATTTCAGCATTAACTTTACTGGTCACTACTATTATCATGAAGATGATATTCTTTGCGATAACAATAATATCAAGCCTTTATCCCACTATGTAATGAGTATTTTTAAGCATTGATTGCATAATAGATTGAATGATGGTTAGCTCAATGATTACCTAGTATCTTATATTGAAAAGTTCAATTCCCAATGAATTTTGTAATGCAGGATTATAAGAAAAAATTTTAAATAATTTGAAAATTTTGTAAGCATTGTTCAATTCTTCGATCATAATTAAATACAAACTTTGTTTTGAATAATGTATATTATCCTTTTTTTTAAATAATGATTTTTTATATAATAAGTTTGCTCACCCTTAAAAGTGATGTTGGTTTTGAGGCTTCTGACCCTAGGGCTGCGAGAAGAGCAATCAAATTATTGACTTTTAACAGGATATAGTGAAGAAAAAAGATTCATTTAGCTGACCCCAGGTAGTGGGACAAAAGCTTGATGTTATTGTTGTTGTCGTCGTCGTCTTGTAATCGGCTAGGAGTTTTAAAAAAAATCAAAAACTGAGTTGCAAGGGAAGATTGGCAGCCAACAATGGAGAAAAACGAGAATTTGACTTTTAACAGGACACAATGGAGAAAAATGATTCATGTAGTCGACCCCATGTAATGAGACAAAGGTTTGTTGTTATTGTTGTTGTATTTCCTTAAAATAGGCAATTCCCTTGTCTGATTTATTAGCAGTAGAAACTATTGGTCATGCATCAAGTGCTTGACCATTACAACTATCCTTTTCTTGTAGCATCCATTGAATTTTATCATGTCTGTTGTGTCATGGAGTATTTGCGGCAGTAGAGAAATATAATTTTAATGTCTTAGCGTTGTATGAAGATCCGGCACACAAATAGATAAGAGAGAGAGTGTAGCATTCATAAGAGACACCAGAGTTTTTACATGGAAACCCCTGAAAAGGGGGAAAAACCACGGAGCCTGGCCCATTTTGAATGAATCCACTAATATTTGCAGTTGATTACAAACGAGGCCCTTCTTAGGGAGAAGGCCTTGGCTTGATGTTACAAATGTACATCATATAGGGTGCATTACATGGTGGGTATTACAATAATCAACATAGACATTCTTGTTTGGTCGGCAGGACTATAGTAAATAGGACAGAGGTTAGAAAGATTGTAGTAGGCAGGAGATCAGTGTCAAAAGGACCATTGTCCGTTGATGTAGGTCGGAAGGACCGTAATATGCAGGAGATTAAGGTCATAAAGACCATTGCCTGGCGATGTAGGTCAGAAGGACTGTAGTTGGCGACGAAAGTTGGAAGGACCATAGTCGGTAGGAGACAGGGGTCAAAAAGATCATAGTTGGCTAGATCAGGGTCAGAAAGAACGTAGTTGGCCAGAGATCAGGGTCAGAAAGACCTTTGTAGTAGGACGGTACTCTGGTAGAACTCTGGGCATCAGGTGGTGGCCTAGTAGAAGTCCAGGCCTCAGGTGGTGGTCCGACAGAAGTCCAGGCATCATGTGGGGGTTCGAGAGAAGTTCGGGCGTCAGGTGGTGGTCTGGCATAAGTCCGAGCATCAGGTGGTGGTCTGGGAGAAGTCCGGGCCTCAGGTGGTGGTCCAACATAAGTCCGGGCCTTAGGTGGTGGCCTGGTGAAGCACAGGGCCTCAAGTGGTGGTTCGGCGAAATAAGGACGTCAGGTGGTGGTCGAGGAGGTGCTTCTTCATTCTCTTTTCTTCTTGCTTGGGGTCCTCCTTTCAAGAGAAATGAGGGGTCTATTTATAGATTTATGGAGTGGCATGGCCCGTAAATAGGTGAGAGATCAAGGGTAAATGGGGAGTGGTGAATCCCTTGATCGTGGACCGTTCGTCAGACATTTGAAGGTCTTAATGATGTTTGAATTCGGCGATCTTGGGCTCGTTGGATTCGTCTCGTCGAGCCACTTGATTCGACTATAAGCACGTAATGTTTGGAAACCGTTTGGTAACCCAAATTGTGGTTCGAACCTTCCAACAGTGCTTCGGGTCCTTGATTTGGACTCATTTGGGCTCGGTTTGAGTCGAATTTGGTGTCGTTTGGTTCGTATTTCCGAGACGTTCAGTTCAACTGTAAGTTTGCTGAATCGGAGTTCTGATGGTCCCAATTTTAATTTTGGAAGTTTCAACTTGATTTTTCCTCTAGATTCGTGCCCCATCAAGATACTTTTTGGTGGACGTTTCAATGTCCTTTCTGTTTAATTTTATTACCGTTTTTTTTTTTAAATTTTATTACCGTTTTCAGGCTTTGTTGTCACAAATTTCTATTATCTGATAGGATCCTGCTGATAAGAGGAACATCATTTGCGATGATAAGCTTAAAGAACTGTTCCAAGTCAACTCTTTTACTGGTTTCACGGTTACAAAGTTGCTTGCAGCTCACTTCGTGAAGACAAAAGATTAAGTTACTCCACTGAAAGATCTGCCATTATTCCGAGGAGGGATTGGGCAATTTTGTTTGCTAGTGTAGCTTCAGCTTCCTCTTCTGTAGACAAGGAAGGTGCCATAGGCAGTCCACCTTAAATTGTCCCGAGAGAATGAAAATGAAAATACCTTTTTTTTTTATTTATCTTGGCCTGATAGGAGTGAAGTACTACTCTATATTGTCTTCTGTTACCATGCCCAATTTTTATTTGGAATTAATGTAGCAGACACATTTACCATATTTAAGCTCCTGTGCTTTTGCAAGTGTATTTGTTTTGCTTTATAAGCTCTTTTCTGTGCCACCCAATGCTGTGGGGAAATTCTACAAGGAAAGCCTTTTAAAATGGAAAAAATTATTAGGTCCGGACACCGGACGTAGCTCTACATTCGGACATCAATAACATATTGTCACGTGCTCTTACTATTTACTGCGCAGCCCGACGACCCGGGCCCGGTATTGCTATGTATTGGCTGATTTGTGCAGATCAGTATATTGCTAGGTATTGCTCGGTATTGGTCGGCAATAACGAGAAATACCAATATGTCAAGACCAATACCTAGCAATATTGAGCAATACATAGTAATACCCCGGTTTAGCTAGGTATTGCTCGATATTTTTAGGTATTGCTAGGTACTGGTCTTGACAAAACGGTATTTATCATTATTGCCAAGTAATATATAGCAATACCGAATAATACTAAGCAATACCCGAACATAGCAATATCAGGTTCCGTTTTGAGTCGGGTCGTCGGGCCGCGCGGTAAAGAGTAAGAGCACGTGGCGACATGTTATTGGAGTCCGGATATAGAGCTATGTCCGGACCTAATAATTTTTCTTTAAAATGGCTTGTAAGAGGTTGTTAGGGTTTTTGGATATGGAGGCCCTAATCCAAATTTTAAATAAAATCAAGGTGAATTTTAAATCTATTGAATTTTAAATCTATAAAGCAATTTTTAAGTATAAAAGTTTTTTCAATTAGAAATTTTTTTTATTAAAAAGTTGTTTTAAAAAACAGTAGAAAAGTTATATCAAACAAAGCCTTATTTGAGTTGATTCTAATATTGGAGTTAAGGATTTGTTTGGGATGTCTTTCGTCTTGCTTTTTAAAACAACTTTCTAGCTATTTCTTGAATTTGAAATTTTGTACTATTCAAGAATTTTTTATACTAGAAAATCGTTTTAAAAAGCAGCACGAAAGTTGTCCCAAATGAAGCCTAAGTAATCAGTTATGCATTGTTTTAACATTAAAGCAAATTTAATGATTAAAAATTTATGGTGATCAAATTGTATCATTGATAAAATAAATTTGAAAAAAAATATGAATCTCAAATTATTAGATTTATTTTCAAATGAGCTGGACATCAAAATTAATTAGATAACCTTATCTTTTAGTTATCTCAAGTAAATTAATAATTAAAAAATTCATAATTATAAGATTTGAATCCAAATTTTGTCCATTAATATGATGCATCTGTGGCGATCAAGCTTTGATTCCGTGGGTGAATTTTGTTTGTTCATGGTAGTAACTTGGAAGACAAGTCCTCTTTCCCGTGCATGAGAAAACAAGTTTCTTACTTAGTGTGTTGGTTAATTCTTCTTTTGAGTAAGCTTATCTATCCATTATCCATATCTAATGCAAGGTTTTGGAGATCAATTTGATGAGTAATGCTCATTATTGAAGTCAAATTACATTTTCAATTGATTTTGGTGTTTATAATTTTATGTGGTCCAATTCAAGAATAGTTTTAGGCTTTTGTTTGGGATAGTGTTGGATCACTATTTTTTTCTTGTTTTTAAGAGATTTTTATAGCCTGATAAAGTAATAGATTTTTCGTATTTGGTTAGGAGAAAAGTAAAAGCAGATCCACATAGTGGTGCATTTGAAATTTTCTATCTAGTTCATTTTAAATGTATTTGGAATTCGTTTGATTTCTACAAATTTTAAATATATTTCTTGTGTGAAGTAATGTTTATATCGATGATTGCCACCATGGCCACCACCAATTGTCGCCACTGCTTTCTAGGCAGCTACCCATCGCCTTTGATCACCACCACTCATAATTAGCTCACCAGCCACAGCCAACCACTGCCTCCCATTGACACTATAGCCAAGCATCACCTATTGCCACCACTACCATCGATAACCAACACTTGCTACTTGCCACTATCGCCAGCCATCACCCGTTGTCCTCCTGCTCACTACCAGTTTGCTACATACATCCTCTGACACATCTCCACCAATACCATCACATGCTTTTACACTAAATTAATTTTAATGCAAAAAAAAAAAAACTATATTTTTAGTATATTTAACCGAATAATTCAAAAATATTTTTAATGCACTACTTTTATTTTATCTTATATATACTTTTTTTAATGTGCATTCATTTTTCAACAAATACAAACTTTCCCTAAATTAATCAATTACAAGATAGGTTGAAGTAGACAATAAAAAAATTTATAAGAGTAAAGGAAGATAAAACCTCACGCTAGAATAGTGTGATGAGTTCATTAGAATAAATTAATCAAATTTATACTATAAATTATAATGAGACCCATACAATTTATGCTCATAAAACTAAAAATTATAAGAAGCCTTTTTTCAAGCCAATTGTTTTAAATTATATGACTTATAAAATCTCCCTTTATAGATTGCTCATTGTCTAAATTAATAGAAAAGATTGGCATAAAATCAGCCTCATTTAAAATTTAGCTTTTGGCAATTACTTTTGTTGCTTTCAAAAAGATTTAATGTAAGAAAGCTGCTTTAAAAAATAGTAAGAAAATTATCCCAAATCAAACATAAATTGCATCTTAGAGAACAATTCAATAGAGTTGCAACCCATGAGCTCATTCATCAATCTCATATTTAGAGATTGGTGTTGGCGTTTTAGCGATTTAGAATTAGCCACGCATATATCATATGAAAAATAAGTAAAAATACAATATTTGTGTAGCATGATTAGAAATTCAAATTTGTTAAAGTTGTTTGCCTAGCCTTGAAAGTGTCGTCATCTTAGTTTCTATTGATACTTAGTGTAACAGCCCAAAGTCTTAACTATCGAGATATTATCCGCTTTGAATTACGAGCTTCACTGTTTTGTCCGATTAGTATGACTTCTCAGTAGATACTAATCCAAGAATTACTCTAGGATGAGCATGCTTAATTACGGAGTTACTTAATAAAATTTCAACCATTACACCAAAAGGAGTCTCAATGTTTAAGAGTTTTAGTTTCTTTTACTCAAGGAGTTTCACACTTAGATAGCTGAGTAGTCATCAATAGCTTGATTTAAAAAGTTATCCCTCATTTCGTAGTTATCAGGGCCAAATTTATAGATAACAGTTATTGGAGTCAACTAATGAGCTCGACTCTCTCATTAGGATGAATAATTGGATCATGGTCACCTATTTGAGATGAGATCACTTGTAGGCCAATGAACATTAGACCATGTAGATGAAACAAATTTATAACATGAAGAAATTTGATTTATCTTGAACCAAAATTTCTAAATATTTGAATGTACATGTGGCAAGTTCAGCCCATGACAGGTACACACATCTTCTATCCCAAAAAAACTGCAATACATAATGCCAAAATAATAAATCATTTAAAGAATTAATATAAATCATATGAAATAATTTAAAATTAAGAAATAAAGAACATTTTCTCTCAAATTATATTAGGATATTCTGATTCTTTTTTAATCATGATGAGCTCCAAAATACTTCAATTTATATCGAGATTGATGTTATATATATACGAGCTTCGAACCTAAGACATCTTGGTTGATAGTCAAAACTTCCATCTAATAGATCAGAATGACCCGTCGAATGCTATATATGATATCTTAAATTAAACTAATCTCAATGCAAATTCAAAGATACATCAAAAAGTTCCAAACACTTTTTTTGTTTATATGGCAAGTGAGGAGAAAAGCGAGAAACAACAAAGGTTAAGTAGTTGTTAAAGTAGAGATAAAGACTTCTTTGGCAGGTTTGCATCCTTTCTTTTCTTGGTAGCATAAAGAGCCATTTTCTTGTGATAATTGTCCATTTAAAATGAAGAACTATTTTGATAATTTTCTTAATTAAAAAATCATTTGTTATTTTTCTCTTGCTTAGATTGTCATTGACATTATCTTGGTAGATTCGACTTCACTCAAGATTAGTGCGATTTTATTTGATACGATTTGAACCTGAGTTAAGTTTTGTTATAGATTAGCTTGATTGAAAGTAGTTAATCGAACTTGTATAAAATTTATGCTTTGATACTCAAACTTTCTCAAGAAAAGAAAACATAGGCATAATCGGGGCAAGAAAAAAGGGGTTTTTATATTAACTACTTTCATAAATGTACCAAAAGTTAAAGGAATAGATATTAATATGCTCTAATTTATTAAACAACTCTTAAATAGAGGGAAACCAACCCAAACAAGAGCATTGATATAATCCTTTTATATGTTGAAGAAAATAGACCATATAAGGAGCTTTATAGTAAATAATATGTGATAAATATACAATAATTATACCTCAAAAAAACTAAGACATATAAGGGCTTGTGTGTGGATTCAAATAACCAATATAAATCAGATATGAAAGCTTAAGAGCTCATATTTTTCTTTTGAAGCTTCTCAATTAGGCTATGACCAGTGAAAAGTTACTTATCAAAACACTCAATTAGGTACCATGGAGATAAAATAGATGATTGATATCAAAATTTAGTCATTAAAAGATCTTTAACGATTCTAGAATTAAGCTAAGGACGATAAAAATAGGATTAAAAGATTTTTAAGCAATAGGTTACAACACATTATCATCATAGTGGATAATCCACCAAACAATCATAACAACATACAACTAAGACTTGTGCATTAACTACATCAATAACTTGACATAATTACAAATATAGGTCAAGATCACCAAACAAAAGATAACATTCATATAATAATAGAATGATGTCAACCATATGGGCAATAAAAGATATAACTAATAAAAAGGAGCAATCAAGTCAATTCTTTGGCGGCATGACACCAATCACAAAATCAATGATGAATGGCTTACATGATAGAAAATGGCGACAATGACCCAAAATGATAAAAAATCAAATAAACATAGATGCAAGGGTAGGCAACACAACCATCTAGAGGATCAATAACATAAGAAATAAGGAGGGAGGAAATGAGGGCAAGAGGCTCATGCTCTTAAGGTATGCCTCTTATTAGTGCCAAAGATATATGTAATTTTAAATTTGATGTTGAGAT